TGGATGTGCGTCCTCCCCGCCACTTCCACCAGCATGCTCCTGGGAATCCACGACTCCCCTCCCGAGACTTGGGGGCCCCCTCTCTCGGCGGTGGACAAGCCTCCCTTTCGTAGACCTCCCCTCAGCGAAGACGGCCTGGGACCGAAACCGACGGACCTGGACCCGCAAAAGTGACGGCCGCGACACCCTCTCGCGAAGGAGGAGGAGGGGGAGAAGGAGAAGGAGGAGGAGGAGGAGGAGGAGGAGGAGGAGGTGTCAGGGCAGGAGCTCTGCCCACCCCCGACTCTCTGCCGTCGCGGCGAGCAGGGCGCCCCTCGAGCGCTCGCAGGACACCTCCGAGAGGCCCCGTTCGTCCAGGACCCCCGCCGGAGCGCCAGGATCTCCAGGGACCCCGCGTGCGCTGGTCTTCGTGTCGAGTCGGGCCTGCCCCCCTACAGGATGAGCGCGCACACAGAGTCAACAACAAAGTCTGGGGACGACTCTTTGGCTTGTTGCGCACGCTGGAACATCTTGGGGGTATTCTTAGTCGTCGTCCAAAATGCCTCTGTCGGGGGACGTGCCCGACCTAACCTTCGTGGCGATCCGGGGGCAATCGCCGACGATCGGGGGGCAATCGCCGACCCTGGACCCGCCCGTGCGGCGCGCCTCGCCCAGCTCCCCGAGGCCACGCACCGCCCTCTCGGGGCGGAAGCGCCCCCACAGAGGCCCCCCAGCAAAAGGCCACAGCAGGGAGCGGGCCCCAGGAGACTTCGGCGCCCTCGAAGCGCGCGGCGTCCACGCAATAGAGAAGCGGGCACCCAGGAAAAACTTCGGCCCTCGAAGCGCGCGCGCGGCGTCCAAGCTGAAGGCCTCGTGGTCCCAGACGCATCCGCCGATCTGGTTTTGCAACCCGCTGCCCACCGGGTCTCGACCCCGTCCCTGGCTCCACGTGTTCGCCCCGGGCGCGTTTGTAAAGTCCCGAGGCCCGAGGAGGAGGAGGAGGAGGAGGAGAGGAAGAAGAGGAGGAGGAGGAGGAGGAGGAGAAGGAGGAGGAGGAGGAGGAGGAGGGGGAGGAGGAGGAGGAGGAGGAGGAGGAGGAGGGGGAGGATCTCCCCATCTTCCCTCCTGCGGTGGAAAACTGGCCCAATCGCCTTCACAGGAGCCTCCGCGTGGACCTCCGCGTCAGACGAGGCCAGGACTCGGACAGATTCGGAGGAGGAGGAGGAGGAGGAGGAGGAGGAGGAGGAGGAGGAGGAGGAGGAGGGGAGGAGGAGGAGGAGGAGGAGGAGGAGGAGGAGAGAGGAGGAGGAAGGAGGAGGAGGAGGAGGAGGGGGGGGAGGAGGAGGAGGGAGGAGGGGGAGAGCAAGAGGCGAGGGGGAGGGAGGAGGAGGAGGAGGAGGAGGAGGAGGAGGAGGAGGAGGAGGGGAGGAGGGGGAGAGGGAGGAGGAGGGGGAGAGGCAAGGGGAGGGGGAGGGGCAGGAGGAGGAGGATGAGGAAAAGGAGGAGGAGGAGGAGGAGGAGGAGGAGGAGGACAATGCCCTGCCATGGGCCGAGATCAGATTGACAAAATCATCTTATGTCGCTGGAGAGCTGAGCTGAGGCTGCAATGCCCGCGAGGCCCGTGGAATCCCGACCCTCTCCCCATTGCCAGCTCGTCATCCCCATCGACCCCCTCGGGTCGTGACAAAGTCACGACGGGGAACTTCTCATCTTATTTTCCGCCTCTGGGAGCCCTCACAGGGCCTCGGGGCCGTTAACAAAACGACTCCTTTTCGGCCTCTGGGAGCCGCCCTTACCGGGCCTCGGGGCCGTCAACAAAACGACTCGGGATCAAAGACATCGGTCCCGGGGAAAAGGTCGAGGTCTCTCCCGGGGAAGGGGTCGAGGTCCGGCCACCACCGTGTCAATGTTGAGCTACACTGTCAATGCCCTGCTCTCCTGGGGCTTTGCTGCGTTCTTGCTCGTGAACATGTGTCACGTGTGCGGAGCCACACTGTCAATGCCGCGCTTTGCTTTCCTGTGGCCTTGCTGTGTTCCGGCTCGCAACGCACACCGCCAGTGGCGGCGGAGAGCTCGAGAGATCCACGAACAAAAAAAATGGTCGACGTCATGCGACAAGCATGGCGTCGGGGGCCTGGGTTTCAGTCGGGCCTGTCCCTCTACAGGGGAAATATTCAATAATAATCAAAAAATAGTCCGGGTACTATTTTTTGACAATTCTTGAACATGTTTAGGGTATGTGTTGGGTATGTTTACTTTTTCGTCCGAAATCTCCGTGTAGGGGGACACGCCCGACTTAAGCCTGCGTCCCGAGCTGTCGGGAGCGGCCAAGAGGGGGGTGTCCAAGAGAAGGGGGGGGTGCAAATCATGACGGGCGGCATGTGCGCGGCCCAGTGGGGGGGCCTGGGACGTAATGAAATAAGAAGAGGCGCCATGAAATATGAGGGAAAAACATGGCCCGCGCCATGAAATCCCCCCCCCCCCCTACTCCAGATTTCGTAATAAAAGGGAGGGGGTCTGGACCCTCCAAGACAAGCCATCTCAGACCTCCCCCGTGGGAGAACCCTCCAGAACATCGTCCCCAGACACCCCAGGCCCTCCAAGATAGCCTGGAAGAGACCCCCCCCCGAAATGAGACCCCCCTCCCTTTATTACGAAATCTGGAGTACGGGCCCATTTGGGGTCCCCGATCGCCGAACGCGATGTGATAATTAGCAGCGTTTGCACTCTTCGGTTTGGTCCCCCCGCGGCCCCACAAAATCCGCGCACCAAAGGTCATTCTCACCCAGGGTCAATCCCAGACCCCCGACGTCGTGATTTCTTTCACAACGTCGACCCCCCTCCCTTTTGCTCATGGCGACGCCTCCCCCCGCAGACGACCAGGGGGGGCGCGAAAAGCCACAGGGAGCCACGCCCCGGCCCCAAACCAAGCCCGCGGCAGCGCGGGGCCGGCAAGCGCCCCGACCTGGACAATCCCAGGCGCCTGCGCCCATGGAGACAAGCCCACGACCCGACCCGCCCACCCAAGCAGAGCCGCCGCCACCCACGAAGCCCCCTTCACGAATGCAAGCCTCCTTCGAAGGAGCGCAGTAGTCTTCACCCCCCTCTTTGCCGCCCCCGGAGCTGCTGCCGGACGGCCTCCCGGGCCTCCCGGGCCCAGCGAGGGCCCCCCTCCGATCGGAGGCCCCGTTCGGCGCCGGGCCTCTCCGGGTGGACCGCTGCCCGCGCCGCCCGTCCTGCCCCGCCCAGCCCACCCCGCCTTCGCGCCCTGCCCTGCTCCTCCTCCTCCTCCTCCTCCTCCTCCTCCTCCTCCTCCTCCTCCTTCCTCCTCCCTCCTCCTCCTCCTCCTCCACCTCTTCCTCCTCCTCCTCACCGGGGCGGCGCCCGCACTGCAGCGGAGGCCAGTCCACAAGAGACCTTGCAACAAGGCACCCAAACCTGAGACCCCAGGGCGTCCAGCGAGTTCCAGCGTGGGAGCGTCGCGCTCTCCACGGCAGGACCCTCGAGGCCCAAGAAGCCCAGGGCCCCCTTTGAGGCAAGCGGGATGCTTCTTGGCATGGGCCTCCACTGCAGGTAGAAAGGAAGCAGCGGCACAAACAGCAACTTTTTGGCGCTCCTCGCTGGCTTTTTGGACCTGCGCTGGACCCCCGCCTCCCTGGCGCGCGGAGCGCGCCACGGGCGGAGGCGCCGCCCCGGGGGAGCCCAGCGCGCATCCAAGAGATCCGCGCGGAGCGCCGAACGTAAATCTATATACGCACATATATTTGTGTACATCTACATACACATATATATGCGCGCTTCGCGCGCGCTTCAGTTCTAGTCACGGCTGCGCCAGGTTTTGCTGCTCTCGTCTTCGCTCGTGTGACCATCGACGACGACTACGACGACGACAGGGGCGGCGACGAGTGACGACGAAGGCGGCGACGACGACGACAATCACGACGACGATGACCGCCACCACCACGACGTGGCCCCGGGGTCCGGACAACTTCCATAGGCCGGAATCACGTCCTAAATGTTTGGCGGTCCCAAGACCCGTTGGGGGCGTCAGGATGCCGGGAGTTGTCCGGAAGCTTCCGGATCGGCCAGAATACCTCAGGGCGTCTGGGGAGAGGGCTCTTGGGAGCCTCTTAGGGCTTCCTAGCGGCCCCGTGGGGCCTGTTGGGGTTTTTTGCTCGGGAACTCTTGGAGGTTTCTTGGGGTCTCCGGGGTACTTTTTGGGGAGGGTGGCTCAAACTTGTCAGGTGGGGTACCCCTCGGGGCTGTGTGGGGAAGCTGTCCCGGGGCCCTCTGGGGACCGTTTTGGTGGCTCCCTGGACAGTCAAGGGCCCCTCTAGAGCCGTCTTGCAGGCCTCTGGGAAGTCTCTTTGGCCGTCTTAGGGCGATCTGGTCGCCTCCATGGGGCCGTCTTCGACGCGGTCGACGCCGAAGCGGAGAATATCTTAACATGTAAGTTTTCCGAAGGGAATGACGCCACTTTTGCTTCTGGAGGCGCTCTTGGGAGTCCTCTTGGGAGATTCTTGGGCCGTCTTGGGGGCTCCCGGAGGCCGTCTTGGAGCCAAGGTCGGCGTGTTGGAGCGACAATTTGGGGATTCTGGACCCTCGTGGACGTTTGGAGACCTCCCGGGACTCTCGGGTGGCGTTTCGGGGCTGTCTGGGGCTGTCTCGGGGGAGCCCCAGAGGCCCCCCAGGGGCCTTCTGGAACCATCTTGGGGGCCTCCTGGACAGCCGAGGGCCCCTCGTAAGCTGACTTGGAGGCCGCTGGGAACTCTCTTTGGCCGTCTTAGGGCGATCTGGTCGGCTCCTGGGGCCGTCTTCGACGCGGTCGACGCCGAAGCGGGGCAATGGAACGGAGAGGGAAGGAGAGAGGAGAGAGGAGGGAGGAGGGAGGATGGAGAGCGAGGGAGGAACGAGGACGAGGCAGGAGGAGGAGGAGCGCCATGGAACAGGGAGGCGGAGGGAGCGGTGCGATGGAGCGGGGAGGACTCCAGAGGAGTGGGGAGGAACGCCGAACAGGGCGCCTTCGCGGGGATCCACCGCCCCTGCGACGCGCTCTGGTACTCCACGACGTCGCCCACGGCGTGCTGCGCGCCAGAGAAGCTGGCGCCGCCCTGCCCTGCCCTGCTGGGAGGAGGAGGAGGAGGAGGAGGAGGAGGAGGAGGAGAAGGAGGAGGAGGAGGAGGAGGAGGAGAGAGGAGGAGGAGGAGGAGGAGGAGGAGAAAAGGAGGAATAGGAGGAGGAGGAGGAGGAGGAGAGAGGAGGAAAGAGGAGGAGGAGGAGGAGGAGGAGGAGGAGGAGGAGAAGGAGGAGGAGGAGGAGGAGGAGGAGGAGAGGAGGAGGAGGAGGAGGAGAGAGGAGGAGGAGGAGGAGGAGGAGGAGGAGGAGGAGGAGGAGGAGGAGGAGGAGGAGGAGGTAGGTAGCCTCCCGTCGGTAGCTTAATCACCCCCTGGGCGCGCCCAACCCTGCATAAACTGGGGGGTCACCTAACACCCCTGTCCATGAACAAGGTCCGCTGGCCGTGTTTACGTTCTGTTTTTTTGTAAGTCCTGGTGGGGGGCACAAGCGTTTTGAGTTCCTGCGAGCGTGTTGCAAACGTCACCTCCGCCACACATCGTCGCATGCGCGCCACGCGTAGTGCCACCAACACATCACATTGTCAGCAACCACCACCGTCACACATACTGGCCAGCAGTGCGTCGTGACAGACTGCCATCATTACCCACACAGGCGCTCAACCATCGTCACCTACCTCGGCCCAGGGTCCAGGGCACCGTCGCTAACATCACATCGTGCATATAACCTCCGTGGCACATATTGGCTCAAACTCGTCTGCACAATCCAGCTTCGCGTGTGCCCGATACCGAATTTCCATGTGGATGCTACTGGGGGATATGAGGAGCAAGGGAACGTTTTTGGAGATGAGGGCGCAACAGAACACCGTCCAACACGGAGAAGAGTGCTTCGCTCCTCGCCTATCCTCGGGCCACTTACACTCTTCGGGGATGGACAGACCTCCCTTTAGTAAAACGTGGTTTAGTGAAAACGACCTGAGGCCCAAACCTGGCGGACGCAAGCCTGGAAAATAACGGCCGCGGCGCCCTCTCGAGAACCGAAAACGGCCAATTCACTAATCGACGTGACACTATTGGGGGTTCTGTCCACCTCCGAACTCTTCATAGTATGTGCATCAGTAGACGGACGGCGGTCTGATCAACTCTGGTCTGCTGGGCACGACGACGAGCGCATCGGTAGTCAAATTGCTGGCCTCGTCCTTGGCCGCTGGAGGCTGCACGGCGAACAGGAGCACGAATTCAAGACGGGGCTAGACAAGCGTTTGCACGACCTTGCCAAAAACACAATCAGGACTGGGATTCGAGGTTCGTTGATGTACGAAGGTGTTCAAGCTGTTGCATTTGATGAGGGCAACGTCGTGGATGGTCCGACTAATCCTGCTGTGCTTCTGCATGGCAATCGTGAGAAGCGGTTGACATGCCATGAGGGCCAATCGACATGGACATGTGGTGAGATCGTTGCCAAACGGACACTATCATCAGCATTGCGCGCAGTGTCGCGCACTTTGTTGGTAGATCTCGCTCGGCGGGTTGTCCGAGGAGCACGGTTTGTGTATTTCGTGTTGTTGCCATGCCGCCCCGTCGCCTTCCACGAAAACGGTGCTTACCTCGCGGTCCATCCTCTAGCAGAGTGAAGGAAGTCCCCGGGGTTGGCCCCCTCGACGGGCGCAGAGCCCCTCGACAAGAGCGCAAGCGCCGTCGCAAGAACACCGCACGCACGCCTGCAGAGTTGGTTATTGAGTGGCTGTCTGCGACGCGGTTCCTGAAGGACTACAAGGCAAGGACGCCGTAGAGGCCGCGCATGCATTCAGAAAGATATTGTCACGGGGTGGCCCGGATGACAGGGCAGCGATGATGGCGAGGCTCCAGAAACCTAGACCAGAAACGCTGCGACTGGCTCGGGCTCATCTTGATTTGTGCGCAATGTTGATCATGCGGATGTTCTTTGAATCGCTGGGCTGAGGTAAGGTGGACATTTACTTATATGCTGACTCTTCACCTCAATCGAGGGGGCGGGCCATGATGGCCTCGACCTTCGCCTTGTACGTCAGTGGAAGGTTGTTGCTAAAACGCCTGTTTCCGCCAGTTCGGATTGGTCGAGGCTTCGTCGATGCGAGAGCGAAGACATTAGCGTCGCTTTGGCCAATCCTGTTGGTCTCTTGGCGGGACCGGGTGTGGGATTTCACAGAGAGAGTGCGAGGTCTCGTCACAGACATGAGGACTGAATTTGGAATCACTCATGCCGAAAATTACGTGTTTCTGTTTGTGCAGTTCTTGGGTGGTAATCCATTAGGTCATCCAGTTCGTACCCGCGCCTTCCTTTTAGCTATACAACTCCCAGGCTGGCGTCGCATGGTGGACCATTTCATCAAGAGAGGATGCATGTGCGTGCCATGGTTCCCGTCCTTCTTGGAGCGTCTCAAAGAAGCGCCCAATACCATACTCTGGTCTTACCTGCCTCATTGGGAATGTTGGGACGCTGGGAACTACAGGGGCACGACTGCACTTCGGCTGGTCGGGGAGGCCCTGCAACATGATGGGATCTGGCAGCACCAGTTCAAAGTAATTCGTCATTATGTTCAGTGGCTGACGAAGGTGATGATGTTTGCAGGCGCGTGCCCTGGCCACCCAGAGGAGTCTATGAATCCCAGCTTCGAATGCGAACGCAAGGGGCGCGTCTTGGGAAAAGGCATTCCAGTTTGCATCGGGCGCCTTTGATGACGCCCTGGAAGAAGCTAACACGATGTCACCGCACTTTTTTCGAGTGCCGCAGCTTAAGCTGGATTATCAAGGGCTCGTTAGAGCAACAGTAGCCCTGGGCCGTCGTGGAATCGCATATCTCGATACTCTGCCATATCTTTTTAGTCAGATGGGTGAGCCAGGCGCGACTGTGAAGATACTGAGGCAATGGAATGCTGCACCTGCCGAAGATCACGACCCGCAGACCAGGGCGGTGCTGAAGCCAGGGAGCCGTTTGCGATCAGACCCTGACCTCATTGTGCCGAATGGCGAGAACGTGTCTGCCGCCCTCGCAGAGGCGATCACTCGATGGCAGCATATGCCCGTGGATAACGGCGAAGCAGAAAGACCCCATGCCAGAGCAAGTCGGCTTTACCAAAGAAGCATGAGGTCCTTATTCACGCGGACGTCGAGCAGCATGAGACTTGACAACAGCCTAGAGGACGTCCAGAGATTGGGCACCGCTGTTGGGGCTGATATCGAATCGGTTTGGTTGCGCTATTCCCAGGTCGTTCAGCTTGCAAATCGCGCTGACTACAGGGATCGGCCCCGAAAGATTTCCAGAACAAGCCTTGCGAACATGGTCTGCGGCACAGGTCATCTTGTAGGCGTTGGAGAGCCACCTGGAGTAGGCGCTGTCGTTCTTGCAGGCGGTGACCACGACGACCAAGGACGTCGGGGTCGGTCGAAAGGAGGATGGAGGATATCGTTCACTAGTTTTCGTGGCGCATGGCATTTATCTGTGTTCGCGGCCCATTGGGTTTACGTGCCTTCGTTCTGAGGAGGAGGAGGAGCAAGAGGAGAGGAGAGAGGAAGGTGGGGGAAGAAGAAGGAGGACGGGGGCAGATGATGGCCGCGCCCCCCCCCGAGCCCCCCCACGCTTCTCCGTCTCCGTAGCCTTCTTCTCCGCCTCCACCACTGCGTCGATGGCCGTGCTGTCGACGCCGGGCTTCTTGAGGTAGGCAAGGACCTCGTTGCCCACGGTGGACTGGGCAGCACCGCCTCCGCCGTTGCCACCTGCTCCTGCTCCAGAAGCCCATGGCGGCGCCCCAGCTGACGACTGCGTGGAACCACCGTTGAGCTTCGCGACCTGCTGCTGCAGGTCCTGAAGTTGCTTGAGCATCTTAGCATTGGCATTCCCTGGGGGACCCAGAGCCCACTGGCCGAGCGGCGGCCTGAACCTGGTCCCCATTGGCTGCTGAGGTAGCAAAGCCTTGGCAGCAGCCTGGTGCGCAGCCTGCATGGTCTTCTGCGCAGCAGGGCGACCACACAAACGACACGAGATCCTCGACGCCCACTTGTCCGCCACCCCGCATTGACAGCCCCAGTGGGGTGTGTGCGGCCCAGGCAGCACTTGACCATCGAGGGGGGCCATCCACTGCGGGGGGTACCACGGCGAATGGCTGGCCACGCGGGCCTCGTGGAAAGAGCAGCGAGATTGGCCCGCAAGCGCGAGCCGCTCTGAAGTACGCGCATGCCTGAGCCAGAACGGCTAGGAGGAGGAGGAGGAGGAGGAGGAGGAGGAGGAGGAGGAGGAGGAGGCGGAGGAGAGAGGAGGAGGAGGAGGGGGAGGAGGAGGAGGAGGAGGAGGAGGAGGAGGAGGGGAGGAGGAGGAGGAGGAGGAGAAGGAGGAGGAGGAGGAGGAATCCCTCGCCCCTCCTTGGCGTCTGCACCACGCCGTCGGATCCTCTCCCTGGACACCTCCGGCTTGCAGTCCAAGTTGTAGGTCCCTCCGCACGCTGTGCGGGCTTCGGACGGGGCGATCGGGGGGCGGAATGCCAGCGGGGGCCAAGGCGACGTCGAAGGCGGCGACGAAAAGAGCAGCGGTGAAAGCCATTTCGAATCCGAAGCTCCAACGTACTCCAAAAATCATGTCCTAAAATTCTCGCCGTGTTCTGCCTCTGGGGGCCATCGCTGGGCTCCCGAGCCGTGAGAACACGACTCCGGATGAAAAGCCGGAGTCGTGGGAGAAGGGTCGGGGCTTCTGGGAACCCCGTACAATAAGTGGGATCTCTGGGAAGAAAGCCGCGTAGTGGGATCTCTGGGATCTCTGGGAACGTCATGGGCAGAGTAGTCGCGTCTCTGGGATCTCTGGGATCTCTGGGATCTCTGGGAACGTCATGGGATCTCTGGGATCTCTGGGAAGAAAGCCGCGTAGTGGGAACCCCGTATAATAAGTTGGATCTCTGGGATCTCTGGGAACGTCATGGGCAGATCGGAACTGTCAGTGTGGCCTGCGCGGCGAAATCCATCGGAATCCGCTTTCGCGACGTATGTGGATGGCAGAGCTGCCAGTCCAGCAGCCGAGAAAGACGTCAGCGCGATCCTCACCGCTTCGAAATCGTGACCGCTGCTGATCGGGCAGGATGTTGCCTGAGACGCAGCGGTTGGTAAAATGGCGAGTATGCAGGTCGGCCAATGGCTTGTCCAGCGGATGGTGTAGCAAGGAACTCGTTCACGCCTTCCGAAACTACTGCGCAAGGAGTAAGCAGAACAATACAAAGAACATGAGAGGATGAGAGAGAGGGAGGGAGTCCTGATCTGTTGACAGCAATGATCTTGGCCAAGATCCAATTGTTCTGGCTCGCGCTCCAATACTCGACTATCTCGCCCACCTGCTGATTCAATCCGCCAGGGGCTTTCAGGTAATGGGAGGGTAGGCCGCTCAGACACTTCATGATGCTCAACGGGCGCACGAACAATACGCTTAGTCACCCGAGGCCGCACAACGATGGGAGAAACGAGGTACGAGATGGATCGTGCGAGGGGGTCCAGAGGGGTGAGAAAACATAGATTACGAACACCGCCACAAGGATAACACTGCCGTGGGCGAACCATTGCCCGTTTCCGACTCGTGCTGAACGCCAACGATCACGGGCAGATCGCTGGGCCTATGCTCGAGTGAAGCCGCCCGCTGGACCAAAGACATGCCACGAACTGACTGCATGCAGAGTTGAATCTGGCGGTGTATCCGCCCGAGGCAGGTCACATACCGACAGGACATCCGAATGGAAAAGGCGACCCCTCAGATCCAAATCGCGCTGGCAGGTGAAGAGAAGCGGCCCACAAGCCTCTCAGCCTTTCCTCGGCGCGCCACCCGAATCCGAGGAGAGGGGGGCGTGCCAGGGCTGAAAGCCCTCCTGGCGATTGGCTGTGAACTCAAGGGGGCAAGCGGAGGGCGGAGGGCGGAACGGCCAAAGCACAACGATCGGGGAGAGCTGCATGCCCGCAGAAAGTCCTGCGCCCTGACTCTGGGATGCTCGGCAACTCTTGCGGGACGGTGGAGGCGACAGGGAGTCATCGGGTCTGGGTTTGCGAGAAGGTGCAACACTTGGCTGCTGGGTCCGCGGAACAATCCTCGCACATGAGTGCTATGCTAGGGCCCTTTTTGGTCCTGGGTATTATTGTTGTTGTTATTGCAGCTAATACTATGGTTCCTATAATTATAAGTCTATAGTTTTATGCATGCATGAATGAGCGTATGGATGTATGTCTGTATGCATGCATGACTGCATGTCTGTGAATGGTTGTGCGTACGTATGTATGTATGTCTGTATGTCTGTATGTACGTATGTATATGCACGTATGTGTGTATGTATGTATGTATGCAGGTAGGTGATAGGTAGGTACGTCTGTAGGTTCGTAGGTGGGTATGTACATATATGTATATGTATGTATGTATGTATGTATGTGTGTATGTATGTATGTATGTATGTATGTATGTATGCATGCATGCATGCATGCATGCATGCATGCATACATGCATGCATGCATGCATGCATGTATGTATGTATGTATGTATGTATGTATGTATGTATGTATGTATGTATGTATGTATGTATGTATATATAACCATCGCGCGCGCTTCGCGCGCGCTCAGGTTCTAGCCCAGGCCGGGGGCGCGCTAGAAGATCTTGGACAGCGCTATCAAGCACAAGCGCGTGACGTAGTCGTGCCTCCTGCGGGCCTCTTGGGAACCTCTTGGGTCTTCGTGGGGCCCTCTTGGGGGTCTCCTGGGGGCTTCCTGGGAACCTCGTGGGGCCCCTTGAGAGCCTCTTGGGGGGCCTCTGGAGGCCCTTGGGGGCCTCTTTGGACCTCTTGGGGGTCTCTTAGGGGCCTCTTGGGGGCCTCCTGGGGCGGGGGGGCTGGAAGGTTCAGTTGGGTGTCCCGTCTTGGGCCCCTCTTGGGGCCCTCCGGGGGCGCGTTTGGGCCGTCCTGGGCGCCTCTTGGACTGTCTGGGGCCCCTCTGGGGCCGTCTTGGGGCTCTCTTGTGGGCTTCGTGGGCCTTTTTGTGGCGGTCTATGGAGAGTCGGAGGTCGTAAAGGACGGTTCGAAGGCCAAAAAATCGAATATGGTAAAAATATACGTTTTACGAAAGGAACGGGGCTATTTTTGCTTCCCGGGGCCGTCTGGGGGGATCTCTTGGAGGGGTCTTCGAGCGTCTTGGAGGCGTCTGGGGCGGTTCGAGACGCCTCTTGAGCCGCCGGAGACCGCTGGAGGTTGTCTTCAGGGTGGCTCTGGGCGGCCTGGCGCCGCCTGACCGGCCGTCTGGGCGCTCCAGGGGCCGACCTGGGGCCCGCCGGGGAGCGGGCTGGGCCCGACGTCCCCCCATTTGTGGTCGAGGCTGCGGCCCCGGGGCCCCTGGGCCCGGTGCGGCGTTATATATCTCTCTATATATAAATGTATATATATATATATATATGTGTGTGTATGCGCATATCAGTCATACTCGGAGTTGGACCCTAGTGTATTGGGCTGGGTTCGGTTCACTCACGAAGTCCAACACGGACTTGACGGCGGCAACGAGGCCGAACGCGGTGACGATGCTGGACTAGACAGGGTACGAGGGACATGGTGGTGCATGCCAGGAGAGAACTGGAACCTCAGACGGGATTAGAAAACAACCATATGGCGAAATACCCCACCACACGCAGCTACGAGCAAAACGCGCTATGGCCTCCCCCCCCGAAGAAAGCCAGGCCGCGAGACGGACGGAGCCTGGGTCCAGCCGGCTGCCTCAAGGGTGCTCTGGCCCAGCCCGATGTGTGGAAACAAAACAGAATCAGCCAGAGCTGTTCTGAGAACATTTCGTGCAAACCACAAAAAAAGTTCTTAGAACATTCTTTGGTGGGCCTATTGGCGAGCCAGAACGCTTCGCCACTGCTTGAATGGAGCGTGCGAGGGGTGTGCCGACATGGGCGGGTCGGCGCACGTGTGGCCCACATCCCTGGAGGCCTCGGTGGAACTCCTTATTATACGGTCACGGAAGGCGCGAGGGGTGTGTCGACATGGGCGGTACGGCATGCCGACCCTTCCGTTGGGGCCTCCTATGGGACATCCTATGGGGCCACGGAGCAAACGAGGGATGTGCCGACAGGGTGGCGACACGAGGACCCTCCCGCGGGGGCCCTCGGTGGAGCTCCCCAGGAGGCCACGAAACGCGCGAGGGGTGTGCCGCAATGGGCGCGGTGGTGGCATGCGGGCTGTGCAAATTGGGCATCCGATGAGGACCTCTACAGGGCCATGACATGTGTGAGAAGTGCGCTGATGTGGATGCGGTGGGGTTGTGCGAACTCTGCTATTTGCGAAGGGGCCCTGACACACACACACACACACACACACACACACACACACACACACACACACACAATACACACACAATACACACAATACACACAATACACACACTACACACACGCACACACATCACACACACACCACACACATATAAAGAAAGACGCACATAACAGGATTCCAGATCGTTTCCCATCTTTTCTGGGTTGTTGTCTTTCCCCCACTTCCAAAACGGAATCGACGATTCATGGTGTCTGTGTTTTTGTTCCTCCTGAATTTGAGCCTTTTGTGGAGCACCCAGGAGGACCACGGAACGCGTGAGGAGCGTGCAGACACGAGCGCGATGGTGGCACGCGGACTCCGCCGCGCGTGGGGGGGCATCCCGTGGAGCTCTCCCCGAGGGGGGCACGCGGCGCGAGGGCGGTGCTGAAAAGGGCCAACAAAGGGGGCCAGGGGCAGGAGGAGGGAGGGGCCCGCGGGAATGGACGCGTGGGGCTGTCCCTCCAATTCGAATCAGGCCGGGCTTGGGCGGAAAAAACGCAGCAACTGTTCAACACCTACCCCAAGATGGCCAAAACATGCGAGAAGAGTCGTCCCCAGAGTATGTTTTGAACTATGTTTGGATATCCCGACTGAAGAGGGACACGCCCGCGTTAAAGGAGAAGAAGAAACAACGCCATAAACATGCAGTCGGGGGCTTGACCTAAGGAACGATAAATAAGGAACGAGGCCCCTTTTTCCCACATATGAAACTCCGATGTTCCATGGAAAACCACAGGAAAGCATAGGACAACCCGAGAAGCGCTGTAGAGCAACTAAGGAGCACGGAGCCCCTCCCCAACACAAAGGGTTCCTTCTTCAGGGCCCCGGCTGTAAACTGTTGGCGCTCCGCGCGGACTTCTTGGATCTGCGCGGGGCCCCCCGCCCTGGCGCGCGGAGCGCGCCATGGGGCGGCGCGGAAGGCGCCGCCAGGGAGGAGCGCCAAAAAGTTAATGTCTATGCAGTTGTTGTCTTCCTGGAGAGGGACCCCCCTTTTCAGCAGGAGGCGGAGGAAGAGGAGGAGGAGGAAGAGGAGGAGGAGGGGGAGGAGGAGGAGGAGGAGGAGGAGGAGGAGGAGGAGGAGGACGAGGAGGAGGCGGAGGAGGAGGAGGAGGACGAGGGGGTCAGCGGGAGTGGACGCGGAGCGTTGTTCTTTCAAAGCGGGGGCCCCGCACCTCAGGATGGATGAATGGGAAAAGACGCCTCGTCGGAGATCTGGGCACGACGGACTCTGCATCGGCGTCGCCAGCGGACACGGGCGCGGGTGTCGCTAACATTGGGCAAGGACCGACCGTCCCGGCATTCCTCTAGGCCTACCACGAAATGTTCGTAAAACCCAAACATGTTGTAATAACAAAAACAATGTTCTTAGAACATAAACCGATGGGCTAAGCAAAGCAGCAGTCGGCCTGACCGAAGACGCGATACAGAAGGAACGTAGCCCCGTTGTTTCCAAGTATGAAGAGGCCCCAGGACACATATCTAAATACACACACACACATGAAAATAGTCCCCATATGTTCCCATATGTTCTGGGGAATCGAGGATTAATTGTGTCTGTGTTTCTGTTCCTCCTGAAAGTAACTCTACGAGGTCCGAAGGAACACCAAGGGGGCTCGCCGCCGAAAAGGTGGCGGAACGCACGGCAAACCAAAGGAGCGAACGAGCCCCTTTTGAGAAGCAAGCGTTCCTCATTCGAGCCGGATCCTGTAAGCGCTGTCAGAGCAACAAAAAGCGGCGTTAACATTCAGTCGGGCGTGTCCCCCTACAGGGGGATTTTCGACGAACAATAAAAAAATACCCCAACAATGCGCCCAAATGGTCAAACAATACTAAGAAATGTCCCCCGACGATTGGAAAGTATTTCTGAACATTCCCCCTGTGGAGGGACAAACCCGACTTAACATTAACATAAAAGGTTGAAGGTCCTCGCGGATTGCTTGGGTCTGCGCTGGGCCTCCTCTCCCCTGGCGCGCTAGGATCGGGGATCTTCTGACCAGGGTCAATCCAGACCCGGGTCAGCAGGAAACCAAAAACTGCAATGCAAGAAAAAACGACTGCAACGCAGGTCTTCGCAAACCCGGGTCAACCAATATGCGCGGCCGCCTCGCGGCCACGAGCGGCTCGCTAACCCGGGTCAGCCAGAGGGGGTCTTCGCAGGATCCTGCAGGATCCGGTGCCCTGGCTGACCCCCGTTTGCATTGACCCCCGTCGCTTGAGCCCCGATAGGAGCGCCCCAGGAGCGGCGCCAGGTGCGCCGCCAGCGGGGCCCACCGCCAGCTGGGCGCAGCCCCCAGCGCGCGGGGCTCCGCAGGCTTGTGCTTCTGCAGTTCGTTGTTCTCCGAGGGCTCCCAACTTCGCGCTCTCGCGCCGCGCGAAGCGCGAAGCGCGAACAACCTCGCGCCCTCGCGCCGCCTCCCAGGGCAGGACGAGGAAGACGAGGGGGACCCGGAGCCGAACCGCGAAGCGCGAACAACTTCGCGCCCTCGTGAGCGCCTTCGGCCCCAGCGCGCGGGGCTCCGCAAGCTGATGCGTCTGCAGCTTGTTATTCTTCGAGCTCTGCTGCGGGCACGACGAACATAGGGGGCAAACAAACCTACCTCGCTTTTGACCACCCTCGCTTCCAAGAGATACCAAGCGATGCCAAACTACGGCCTGTACTGGTCAGGCCGCTTGACGAGGAGGCGCGTGGTATGACTTGGTTTTGCCTGGAAGCGAACGCGGGGTAGGTAATTCACGCACTGAGACACGACGGGGGGGGGAAATCGGGACCGGCGATGGGTGAGAAAGGCAGCTCTCGTGCTGGGAGCACGATGCGGGGCAGACACAAGGCACGACTGTGCGATACACGCCTTCAGCATATCCGCGATGGCATGGATGGTCGGATCGCTTCTCGCAGTCCCGCCCTCCCAACCCGATAGCCGTCTTGCCGGATGGGGGCGGGCAGCCCAGGGGAGGCAGCAGGGGGCGTGCATCCAGGGGCGCCTGTGAGCCATCCCTTCGGCAAGGCTCCCGGGCGAAGGGGTGCCATGCCCGCCCCCGATTGGGGAGACCATAGGGTAGCGATAGCGCTCCTCCCCGAACCAGCACGTCGAGACGGGTCCGGCGGTGGCGACGAGGGCCTCCCAGGAGGCCCAAGAGGCGGGAAAACGAGGGAGAGGCAGCGGTATGGGTACCTCTTGCCTCCTCTGATTTCACGGGTAGAATTAAGTCGGGCCTGTCCCCCTACAGGGGGATTTTCGACGAGAAATAAAAAGTACCCAGAAATACCCCAAACTTGTCGAAACATACATAAGAAATAGCCCCCCCGACTATTTTTGAATTATTGTTTGATGAATGTTGGTGTATTTTTTATGTTTCGTCGAAAATCCCCCTGTAGGGGGACAGGCCCGACGTGAGGGTAGAAGGCCTTGCCATCCTAGGGGATTCCAAGCCCACGGTTCAGGCGGTCTGCGTGATCCCCCCCCCCTCGAAGGCGAGCGGCCTCCCCTCAACTCTCGTGGCCACATGGAGGCCAGCCTGTAACATACGGACCGAGTTTCGACCTATATCGGGTCGGGCGAAAGGGGGGGATAGCAAAGGGGGGGTTTGAGAATCAGCTCACGTAGCTGATTTTCCCGGCGCCTCCCGGCGCAGGAGACGGCCATGTATCGAGGAATGGGCCCCTCAGTGAGGCCGAAACCAGCTGAATGCAGCAAATTTCGTAACCCCCCCTTTCCCAATCCCCCCCGTTCGCCCGGCCCGACGATAGGCCCAAAACAAAAAAAAACACGAGGAGAAGGCAGCGGTGTGGGCCCCTTCTCTTCCTCCGATGCCCGCCCCCACCATGTCGGGGAGACATGAGACTCGGGCACGGCGAACTCGGGTTTACCTGAAGAGGCCATCATGAAAATGACGAGACCCAGTGTGAAATCAGGAGAGCCCAGAATGGAATCGAGAAGTCGGATCGGCAGTCGAAACGAATCGGATCGGCGGAAATCGGCAGCCGAGTCGGGAAAAGCCGAATCGGCTGAAATTGGCAGGCTAGTATGCCTCCAATAAGAAATCGGAAACCAAATCAGAATCCCAAGTCGAATCGAATCGGAATCGGAAGCCATCGAAGTCGAATCGAATCGAATCGGAGGAATCGAAACGAGCCCTGTGAAATTCGACGCGACCTCCTGCTGCAAACATCCCTCGAAAACTGGGCTGACACTATTCCGGACGGGCTCGTCCAAAAGCGTCGGCAAATCCGAGCTCTGGCGCACTCGAGTCTCACGTTTCCCCGCTGGAATGAGGAGTCAAGACGAGGGGGAGGAGGAGGAGGAGGATGAGGAGAAGGAGGAGTAGGAGGAGGAGGAGGAGGAGGAGAAGGAGGAAGAGGAGGAAGAGGAGGAAGAGTAGGAGAAAAAGGAGGAAGAGGAGGGGAGGAGGAGGACAAGCTAGGTGCGCTCGCGTTATATATCTGACGTCCTACCCCTCCCTCCCATCCCTTACCATGGCGTAAATATCCTCTCTATTCGCACAGTCGGATGTCGTACCATGGCATCGAATTATATGGCAGATTATGGCGTTGCAGATCAACGCGTAGCCTGACATAACATGGCGTGGCGACGCCCCAAAGTGAAGGGGGCTCCTGCGGCCCCAAAAAACAACGAATCGACACCGAATGTGGAATCACCTCTGATGTTAGTTTCGGGGGGCCACCCCGAGATTGATTCCTCTGCCGAATCTACGGACAAAATGCGTAGAACGCTCCGTAGATTCACGGAGCATCCTTCGCATTTCTCATAGATTCACCGGAAAATCAATTTTGAGGAAAATCGATCATGTCGTCGATCTCCTCATCTCAGGCGATCGCAAACATGGATCAAGGGGGCGCGGATTAGCGACGGGTCCCGTTTCCACAGGAAATCGCGGATTCCCGCCGCCGCGCGAGGCGGCACCGGCCGCATTTTGGGGAGGGCAACTCCCCCGATCCATGGATTTGGCGACCGCGCGCCAAATCCTTGGATCGCTAATCCATGTCTGCGCGCCCCCGAGCATGTCTCGTAGATTCACCAGAGAATCAAGTTTGGGGTAAAACGCTTCTGTAGTCGATCCCCTACTCGGAGCATGGCGTGACGACGCCCCAGGGGAGGCCTCTGCGACGCAACAAATCAACGAATCGACACCGAATGTGTAATCACTTCCGATGTTTTTTGTCAGGGGGCAATTTTTTATATTCAGGGGCATACTTGGAAAGACCAGACCGAGAACCATCCATGCCTTGGCATGGCGCTGGAAATAATGACTCCAACGCTGAAGCGGGAGCACGATTCGGAACGAGCGGAAGCGCGAAAATGAGGCCAGCGCTGCAGCGGAGGCACGATTAGGAACGAGCGGTAGCCCGAAAATGAGCCCAGCGCTCCAGCGAGAGCAACATTTTGAGAAACAAACCCAGCGAAAACTCAACTCCCGGCAATCCTGTGTAAAACAAGAACGCGGAGGGGGGCCGAATTTTTCCTGGACGTCACCAGGGCAGAGAGGAGAGTAGGATTAAGATTGTGCAATTGTGGAGGAGTAGGAGGACGACGAAGAGGAGGAAGAGGAGGAGGAGCAAGAGGAGGAAGAGGAGGAGGAGCAGGAGGAGGAGCAGGAGGAGGCAGAGGAGGAGGAGGAGGCACAGGAGGAGGAGGAGGAGGAGGAAGAGGAGGAAGAAAAGAGGAGGAGGAGGAGGAAAAGGAGGAGGAGGAGGAGGAGGAGGACGACCGATCGCCCCGATCGCCTCTCGGGGGGGGGAGGAGGCGCGCCGGCCCGCGGGCCTGCAGCGCCTCCGAGGAGCTGGCGCCGAGGCCCTGCCCCCCCAGCGACCTCGGCAGCGGGCGGCGCGGAGGCGCCGCGCCGCTGGGCCGCGCGGGGGCGCTGCCAGCAGGTTCGTCAAAGTTCGCAACATCTGCAAGCACTCGTGGCCCCTCCACACCTAACACGCGATCGCTGCCTCGGCTCCAGCAGACCCGATCATTGTGCGTCGGTAGAAGTACTACCAGTCGCAAGTCAGGGAGAATAGCTATGCTCGGCTGAAGGGAGCACCTACTGGTTCTGAGCGTTCCTCTTGCATTTGATCCATGCGCAGGCCCGCACATCCACACCCAACAAGGCCACGCATCCAACACCCCAACGAGTCGGATCCCGTGCTTCCCAGCCTGCGTCGTGATTGTGGATACGAGTTCCGATGATTTGGAACATGAACAGGTCTTGGCGACGACCTTACCTGAGGCCAAGCAACCTCAACCACTTGCTTGGTACAAGCAATGGTGGTGCTTCTCCAGAAAGACCCGTGCACAACAACTTACGTCGAGGGCTCACGGAATCTGTATCAGAGGCACGTGGGCGCGTCATCCGTGGATGTTGAGCTTCGTACGGGGTCCCAGGCTTCCGCAGGGGCCCGAGTGCTGTATAGGAAAACATCTCCCGTGGGCCACCTGCTGCCAGGCCCGTTTCGGCCTGGACAACATTTACATCAACGTATAAGGACTCATGCCCGTGAGCCCCGGCAGGCCGCTTTTTTTGCGCTCTTTGCATGCATGTTTGTTTTCTGTCTCCTCCTCTTCCTCCTCTTCCTCCTCTCCCTTACAGTACAGGCTGTGCTGAGCTTGTTTTCCCGCCCACGCGCCGGACGGCGTATGGCTTGTGCGTGCGTGCGCACACTGCAGGCGACGGGGGCCCGCTCTCCGCATCCCACCTTCTCTAGGGGAGCCCACCGAGGACGCACGCGCCCCGCTATGCACATGAGCACGGCCCCTCGATCCGCGAGACCGGCCGCGTTAGACGAACATGTGCGCAATGCACACTCTCGAAACCAGCGTGGACTCATGTACGTGTACGTCCTTCTGTCGCTCCTGATTGAGGGGAACAAAAACACACAGACACAATATATCGCCGACATTCCCCAGAAGATATGGGAAGATATGGGAATTGGGTGGGAAGACAAAAACCCAGAACATGTGGAAGAATATGGGGAATCCTGTTATTTGAGTGCATCTATTTGTGTGTCCCAGGGCCCCTCCACTCATTCCCCCCTCCTGCGAAATCCCGCGCAAAGGACCGATCGGCGCTGGCCCCGAGGCCCGAGGCAGGCCTCTGGGCGGCGCCCGGGCACAGACAGGCGACAGGCCCGCCTCTTGCGCCGACGCCCGGCCGCCCACGTTTCGTGAAGGGGCCCTATGGGACACGCACAAAGAAGTACACACACAGATCACAGGATCCCCCATACGTTTTCCATATGTTCTGGGTTTTTGTCTTCCCACCCAAGTCCCACAGTTTCCCATACGTTCTGGGGGGTCGACGATTCACTGTGTCTGTCTGTTTTTTCCCCTCCTGATCTTGCCCGGCAGCGAGCTGAGCTCGCATCCCCGCGGCTCCATTCAGCGGCCGACGGCGGCGGCAGAGATGGTGGAGCCAAAACAGCAGCTACCGATACCGCCACTCCCCGGATGGGGGGCGGTCTGTCGGGGATGGACAGACCTCCCTTTAGTAAAACGTGGTTTAGTGAAAGCGACCTGAGGACCAAACCTGGCGGGCGCAAGCCTGGAAAATAACGGCCGCGGCGCCCTCTCGAGAGCCGAAAACGGACAATTCACTAATCGACGTGTCACTGTTGGGGGTTCTGTCCGCCCCCGAGCCTGGCCAGAACTTCGAGGCGCCTCCGGCGGCGGCGACGAGGGCCCCCCAAGGGGGCCCCTGCGAAGAGGCGAGCACGAGGCAGGGCCATACCGGCATCGGCACCCCCTCTCCCCTCAAGAGGAAGCTGGGGCCAGCGCGAGGCACGAGCCCAGACCGCCGCCGCCGTGACTGTTGTTCCTGGCGCCGGCCCCGGGAATCTTACCATCATAGGAGGATGCGAAGTCCCTGAAGACGGGACGGGGTGGGCACGAGCGGGCATCATAGCCAGCTCAAAAAGTCAAAAGAGGCATCACAGCCTCATCAGTCTAGATTGATCCACTCACGGATCCACTGCAATCGATTTCCATTGAATTCAATCCATGCGTAGCATGCTCACCCCTTTCCCCGGGGCCAGCTTTAAGTCGGGCCGGTCCCCCCTAGAGGGGGATTTCCGACGAAAGCTAAAAAACATACCCCAAACATAATCCAAACATAGGCCAAAAATAGGCTTGGGAGCATTTTTTGAATATTTATGTAGTTCACAAATAAACTTGGGAGTATTTTTTAAAAAATATGTTTCTTGACCCTTTTACCTAACAGCGAAGACTGATAGGTTTCTAGTGGTGTCAAAAGAGAGCATCATGACTCCTCAGGGGGGTCGGGGCGGGACCCGGGGCGGCTGCCGCCGAAGCCCAAATCGCCTGGGACATCCTCGCAAAATCGCTCTTGGCGCTGCTAGAACTCCATTCCCGGCGTACATTTTGGATGCCCGGAGCCAACTGTAGGCCACTTCGTGGTCTTCGAGTTCCCAGAACTCCATTCCCGGCGTACATTTTGGATGCCTGGAGCCAACTGTAGGCCACTTCGTGGTCTTCGAGTTCCCAGACCTCCATTCCCGGGCCACATTTTGGATGCCCGGAGCCAACTGTAGGCCACTTCGTGGTCTTCGAGTTTCCAGAACTCCATTCCCGGGCCACATTTTGGGTGCCCGGAGCCAATGTAGGCCACTTCGTGGTCTTCGAGTTCCCAGAACTCCATTCCTGGGCATGATTTTGAATGCCCAGGGCCAGCTGTAGGCCACTTCGTGTTCTTCGAGTTCCCAGAATTGAATTCCCGGGCCACATTTTGAATGCTGAGGCAGGCTGATGCTGAGGCTGAGACTGAGGCAGGCTGAGGCTGAGGCCGAGGCTGAAGGCCGACTGAGGCTGAGGCTGAAGCAGGCTGAGGCTGAGGCTGAGGCAGGCTGAGGCTGAGGCTGAGGCAGGCTGATGCTGAGGCAGGCTGAGGCTGAGGCTGAGGCTGCAGGCTGAGGCTGAGGCAGGCTGAGGCTGAGGCCGAGGCTGAAGGCTGAGGCTGAGGCAGGCTGAGGCTGAGGCCGAGGAAGGCAGACTGAGGCTGAGGCTGAAGCAGGCTGAGGCTGAGGCTGAGGCAGGGCTGAGGCTGAGGCTGAGGCAGGCTGATGCTGAGGCAGGCTGAGGCTGAGGCTGAGGCTGATGCTGAGGCAGGCTGAGCTGAGGCTGAGGCTGAGGCTGAGGCTGATGCAGGCTGAGGCTGAGGCAGGCTGAGGCTGAGGCCGAGGCTGAGGCAGACTGAGGCTGAGGCTGAAGCAGGCTGAGGCTGAGGCTGAGGCAGGCTGAGGCTGAGGCTGAGGCAGGCTGATGCTGAGGCAGGCTGAGGCTGAGGCTGAGGCTGATGCAGGCTGAGGCTGAGGCAGGCTGAGGCTGAGGCCGAGGCTGAAGGCAGACTGAGGCTGAGGCTGAGGCGAGCTGAGGCCAGGCTGAGGCTGAGGCTGAGGCAGGCTGAGGCTGAGGCAGGCTGATGCTAAGGCAGGCTGAGGCTGAGGCAGGCTGAGGCACTGAGGCAGGCTGATGCTGAGGGCTGCGGCGGCTGATGCGTAAGCACGGCTGAGGTGAGCTGCTGAGGCTGAGGCAGGCTCAGGCTGAGGCCGAGGCTGCGGGCAGACTGAGGCTAGCGCTGAAGCAAGAGGCTGAGCTGAGGGAAGGGTGAGGCTGAGGCTGAGGCAGGCTGAGGCTGAGGCTGAGGCTGAGGCATGGCTCAGGTCTGAGAGCTGAGGCTGAGGCTGAGGCCGGCGAGGTCTGAGCAGGGATGCGAGCACTGAGGCTGAGGCTGAAGCATGCTGAGGCTGAGGCTGAGGCAGGCTGAGGCTTGAGGCTGAGGCAGGCTGATGCTGAGGCAGGCTGAGGCTGAGGCTGAGGCTGATGCAGGCTGAGGCTGAGGCAGGCTGAGTCTGAGGCCGAGGCTGAAGGCAGACTGAGGCTGAGGCTGAAGCAGGCTGAGGCTGAGGCTGAGGCAGGCTGAGGCTGAGGCTGAGGCAGACTTAGGCTGAGGCTGTGACTGCGACTGCCGTTGCCGCTGCGACTGTCATCGCGAATGCGACTACGACTGCGAGAAGAGCAGAATTCTACAACTGGGTTCTCATTTGAATCTTAAGGGGAATGCTTCCAGATATGCTCCTACACATCGCTGTTAGGTTGCTTTGCCGGGATAATTGGAGTATTTTTTGAATATTTTAGATTTTTCGTCGAAAGCCCCCCCTGTAGGGGGACAGGCCCGAGTTAAGGCCAGCTTTTTTCGTCCCGAGTCGCTTGGTTGACGGCTCCGCGGCCCGGGGAGATCGGGCTGGGCATGTGCCCCCCCTCAGATTCTGAGGGACAAAACCAAAAGAATAATCAAACCATACTCCCAAAATCATCGAACCTATATAGCTTCAAAAGAACTCGCTCCCGGACTGCCTTCCTTACTATCTCTGAGTGCTCGAGGGACGTGCCCGACTTCCCGGTATAAGAGCCCCTGGAGGCCGAACATAGCGAAAACCCACCCCCGTCGTGATTGCTGTCACGACCCGAGGGGGTCTGGGTGCACGGTTTCCCCCAGGGCCGTAGGCGACCCGAGGAGGGGGAGGAGGAGGCCTAAGCCCTTCGGGGAAACCCTCCAGGTCTGGGTCGTGCGCCCAGGGCGCACCGGCCCGGGCCCGCGGCCCCCGCTGGGCCCGCGGGCGCCGCCGCCGAGGAGGGCCCCCGGAAGCGGCGGCGAGGGCCGAGCCCCGGGCGTGCCCAGCGGCGCCGCGTTGGTCAGCGTGGGCGGCGCCGCGTTCGCGGCGTCCGCCGGGCCGCCGAGGCCGCTCCAGCCGCCGAACCAGGAGCTCATCGCCTGGCCAGCGCCCCGCTCTCCCCCCCAGGACTCTGCACAGGACCGGGGCTCTGGAAGGAGGTTGATGTTCCCCTGGGGTTGTCGTGGAGGAGAGTTGAAGAGGAGGCGAGGAGGGAGGGGGAGGAGGAGGAGGAGGAGGAGGAGGAGGAGGAGGAGGAGGAGGAGGAGGAGGAGGAGGAGGAGGAGGAGATGGAGGAGGAGGAGGAGGAGGAGGAGGAGGAGGAGGAGGAGGAGGAGGGGCTCAGGGTGAACTAACTCCACATGGAGGTGGAGGGCTCAGGGTGAACTAACTCCACATGGACTTTGGCACCTCGACAATCAGTCTGTCTTGTGATGCAACTTTTGCAGATGCAAGCCTCGAAAATCAATCGAAACGGCATTTCAGTGTTCACCCTTTGCCCTCCACCCAAAGAAAATGTTCTGATAACAGGACCCCGAACCCTGTGGGAGAGGACCTAAGCTAGGAAGGGCTGGAATTTTAGGGATACAAAGGGGGTCTTCTCTGCCCAGATGCATGACGCCTCATGCGAAGACGGGGATCTCAGTGAGGCCACGTCTTCATCGTGTTCTTGGGGTTAGGGGCTTTCTTATCCTCAATGACCGCAGACCTGCGTCGCCGTGCTTGTTTCAGGTCGGGGCCCCTGGCCAATCCGCACCCTTCCTCCAGGACCAGTGCTTCTTCCCGAGCATAGTTCTGTGGGCGGTCCTGGTGCCCCGCGAAGGCCCCCAGAGACCGAAAAACTGCCAAAATCCTGTGCTCGTGATTGGTTCCTAGCGCGAGCGCATCTGGGTCAGGATGAGGTCGGGCATGTCCTCCTACAGGCGGATCTTGGAAGAAAACGACGCATAGCAAAAACATAATCAAACAACTAATCAAGCGAGAGGATGACACATCGAGACCATTGTTCCCAAACCCCCGACGTCGTGATTTGTTCCTGACGTCGACCCCCAGAGGTCTCGACCCATTCCCCAGGACCAGTCTTCCATCCTGGATCGTCTTTCGTCTTTCCACAGTCCCGAGGCCCAGGAAGGGCCGCCAGAGGCCGGAGATGGCGAAACACCTCCCGTCGTGAGGATTCCCTCATGACTCGAAGGGGGTTCTGGGCTTTTATAAGGGGCAAACAAACCTACCTCGCTTTTGACCACCCTCGCTTCCAAGAGATACCAAGCGATGTCAAACTACGGCCTGTACTGGTCAGGCCGCTTGACGAGGAGGCGCGCGGTATGACTTGGTGTTGCCTGGAAGCGAAAGCGGGGTAGGTAATTCACGCTCTGATTTTACTACTCCTGAGGATCCCTCCCACAGACAGGCCCGACTCGAGCTAAGTCGGGCCTATCCCTTCACAGGGGGAATATTCCAAAATCGTAGAAAGGAAATAGTCTGGGGAGGATTTCTTTGGGGATATCTTTGGGGATATGTGTTGTATGTGTTTTGCCAATTTCCAGCTTTTCGCACCAAATCCCCCTGTAAGGTGTGAGGGGACAAGCCCGACCTATGGCTTGAGGTCCGGGCCTGGACTTGAGCAGGGACCGACCGTCCCGGCATTCCTATAGTAATAATACCACGACATGTTCTTAGAACCCAACAGTGATCGAAGCACAGGCAACAATGCTCTTAGAACAAAAGCCCGATGTGACAAAACAGGACAGACTCCGCCAGAGATGTTCAAAGAACATGTCGTGGAAGCCACAAAAAAAGGCTCTCAGAACACTGCTTCGTTCGGCTACACGCCAGAGTGACCCTGGGTAAGAGTGACCTCTGGGGCGCGGCTGTTGGGGGGGCCGCGGGGGAGGGGGCCACAGGCGCGCGAGGCGCCACCATCGCCATCGCGTTCGGCGATCGGGGAACCCCACTGTGCCCGCACCAATGGGCCACTCCGGCGAAAGGCCACTCTTACGTCTAGTCGATTCGTGGGGCTGTGTGGGCGAGCCGGGACGCCCCGCCGCTGCTTCTCAGGGGCGCGGCGCCGCGGGCGGCCCGCCGCCGAGCGCGGCCGGCCTCGGCACGCGCAGGGCGGGCCGCCCCGCCCGCCGCGCCCCGCGGAGCCCCCCGCCCCCCCCCCCACACAAAAAACACCCGGCAGGGCGCCCCGCCGCCGGCCCGAGGGGGCGCCAGGCCGCGCTCCGGGAGAGGGGCCCAGCAGGGGGGCACGCCGGCAGATGGACGCACGCGGACCTCAGGGATTCCTCCTCTATGCTCCTGGATTTTTTCGGGGTCTGCGCCTTCCCCCCCCCCACGTCCCATACGTTTTCCCACACCTCTCTTCCGGGGGGGGGGGGGATCGACGAGGAGTCGTGTCTATGAGCCCGTTCCCTTCCTGATCCGGGCGCGGGGACCCTCAACTCCTGGCGTGGCATTTGTTTTCTTTCCGCCACGGGCGTTGCCGCCGGCTTCAGAGCCCCAACCAGAGCTGAGGCCGTCGAACATCGAACCCGAGATTTCGGTGTGGAGCCTCAGCCAGAGCCCAGGCCGACGGACACCGAAATCGAGATTTCGATGTGAACCCCCCACCGGATCGGAAGAGAGGAGGAGGGGGGAGAGTCGAGGCCGGCAAACACCGAAATCGAGATTTCGATGTTTCTGAAATCTTGGTTTCGAGCTCTTCCCCCCGCGGGACCCTCACGGATCCTCCTGCCCCTGCTGCTGCCCCATCCTCGGGCGATCCCCAGCCACGGCGCCCCCCCCCGGCAGCGGGGAGCCTGGGAGGCTCTACGGGAGCTGCAGGGCTTCCCTGCGAAGCTGCCCTGCCAGGGCGCCCGCGCACCCCACGCGCGCGCCGAACATGGGACGCACATGGGCACACTAGTACTATATGTCCTCCTTGGAGGCGCGCGTGCGACCCGAACATGTAACTAGCATACTCATCTTGCAGCAGATCGTTTCCCGAGCGGTATGGCCAAAAGCGGCCGCCACGACGCACATGCCAGGATATTTCTCGGTGCGCGCGCGTCACCCCGGGGGGAGCGACGCACACATAGTATTAGTATGCTGGGGTGTCGCCGAGAACATGCGGGGCCCAGCGATGAAGTGCAGTTGTTTCTTCACTGCGGAAGCCCCAGAGGTTCCAACCCTTCCCCCCCGGGGCCGGTTCTTGTTCAACTCCGAGCCGCTGTCTGACGGTCCTGGGGCTCGGCGAGGGCCCGCAGAGGCTGAAGACGGCGCCGAACCCTCGAACCGAGCCGTTGGATACAGTCGGGCCGCTGAACGAGGGAACGCTACACGAGGAACGAGGCCCCTCCTTGGCCCTGGAAGCGCCTCCGTGCCCCAGGAGGGCAAGAGGAACAGCACTGGAGGAATCCGAGGAACATCGAGCCCCTTCCGAACCCAAACTGCTCCCTACAGTCGGGGCGTTGTCCCAAGGAACCCTAAATAAGGAACGAGGCCCCTTTTTACCATAAGTTGAGCTTCGATTTCCCATCGAAAACATAAGGAAAACCTGAGGCAAGCTGTGAAACAATCAAGGAACGCGGAGCCCCTCCCCAACGAAAAGGGTTCCTGCGTCAGGGCCCCGACTGTACTTCAGCGTCTTGACTGCACGTCCGAGGCTCAGCGGAGGGGGGGGGCACCCGCTGGACAAGCGCGGGGAAGTCCGGCGGCGCCTGTGCGCACGAGGGGCCCTGGAGCAGGCGCTCGACGCAGCATCGTGCTCCCTGCCCCTGCTCTCGCGCAGCTCTTGGGCGGCGCGCACAAGGGGGGGGGGTATGCGGGGGCTTCGTGGGCCCTGGAAACGACAGGGCCGTTTTTTTACCGGTTCCGTTTTGCCGCTTTCTTGCCGGTTCCGACGCCGTTTTGTTCACCGGTTCCGTCGCCATGTGTTGACCGGTTCCGGCTCCAGTTCCAATCATGGAGCCGTTTTTTTGCCGTTTCCGGTCGCCGTTTTTTTGCCGTTTCCATTTTCAAGGGACATTTTTTGGGAACGGTGAAAAAACGACCCTGCCGTTTCCGGGGCCCACAAAGTGCGGGGGGGGGGAAGGCGCCGGCCCTGCAGTCGGACTCGATCGGGGAGGACACGCGAGAGCACACAAGACCCTTCCGAAGGTCACACCGCCACAGGAGCGTAAGCAGGCACGTGTCGCGAGGCACAGGACACAAGGGTACCCTTGAGCTGGCAGGGTCGACCTACTAATCTGGGCCGACTGTACATCTACAGAGAAACATTCGCGCCTTCCAAGAAGCAGGGGTGCCTCTAGGAAGCCTTCCCCCCTCCCCACATGCAGTGGAGGCTACAGTCCCCAGGAAGAGCCTTCCACGAGAGACCCAGCCCTGAGACCCCAGGACGTCCGTTGATCCTTGGCGTGGGAACGTCAGTCTCTCCATCGCAACAAAAAAAACATCGGAAGCCGAGACACCCGGGGGCACCCCGGAGGCAAGCATGGGCGTCTCTCGGCATGGGCCTCCGCAGGTACCCCCCAGAGGTGCGCCTGGCTGGCCAAAAGCCCGCACGAGGGGCCACGGGCGGCGAGGAGGACGACCTGTTGTGGCCCCCGAGGCCAGAGCTTCTTTGCCCATCCTCCTCCTCCTTCTCCTCCTCCTCCTCCTCCTGCTCCTCCTTCCTCCTCCTCCTCCCTCCTCCTCCTCCTCCTCCTCCTCCTCCTCCTCCTCCTCCACCTCCTTGTGGCCCCCGAGGCCAGAGCTTCTTTGCCCATCCTCCTCCTCCTCTCCTCCTCTCCTCTGCTCCTCCTCCTCCTCCTCCTCCCTCCTCCTCCACCTCCTCCTCCTCCTCCTCCTCCTCCTCCTCCTCCTCCTCCTCCTCGGGTCGCCTGCGGCCGCGGGGGTCGGGGAGGTGTGAGACTCGGGCACGGGGGACTCGGGTCGGCCTGCCGGGGCCAGCGTGAACAAAAGCGCGAGGCCCACTCTGGAAACTCGACGCGAGCTCCGCGGCAGACGTCACCCACGAAGACCGGGCCGTCCGAGTCCAGGGCGCGCTCGGCAAAAACGGGCGGCAAACCCGCGTTGCGGCTTGCTCGAGTCCTGCGTTGCTTGTGGGAGGGAAACACAT